AGGCGCAACATTTTGGGGGCGCAAAATCAAGGAGTCAATCAGTACTTTGTAACGATAAACTTTCTTGCATATAATACTTAAACATACATAGGATAAAGGTTACCGCCCTTTTTTTGCGCTATAAAGCGCCTTTTGCCGCTTTGATATTGGCGGCTTATTTTTTTTATACGAGGATCAAAATAAAAGGAGATAAATGCATTAATGGTCATAATATTTTTAGTATTTGTTTGATAGTTGCAGTTAACGGTAGCAAAGTAGCATGACTTTGTAACGAGCTTACTCTCTAAAATAGAATTAGTCAAAAATGACTAATTCAATTAGTCTAATTGCCATAGCGAAAAAGCAGCGACTAATAATTATCGTCAATAGAAAAAGTCAACTCCTATGTAAATTTAAATTGTCTGCTGAATCCGAAAATGTTGTCAAAAGTTTATAACTAGTAGTAGAACGTTTTTGAGATTCAGTAAATTATCCATATAATATGGAATTGACTGTATCTTAAAAACTGTTTTACTTTCATAATTTTACATAATAATAAGCTGTAAAATGTCCGGGATACAAATTGCTGTGGACTAAAGTTATTATAATTAATAACTTTAGTCCACAACAATTTGTATCCCTATAGTGACTATAGTGTCACTATAGTCACTACAGCGACTGCTTTTTTACTTTTAAAACTAGTCATTTTTGACTTATTCAATTTTAGACAGTATACGTTACTAAAAACCAGTTGTAGTTATTATATTGTTTAAATTGTTTTTTTTGTTTTCTTTAGAGTATTTTTACCACTGAATATTTTTTGTATTTCGTAATTTAATAAATATTTAATAAATACTTAATTTAAGCGTTTTTTTTTTAAATTTTCAATTACATATTGTCAGTTTGTCGCAAAATATATATTTTTTTTAATTTAAGGGCTTAAAATTAAAAGATTTAATGTATTATATTTAAATATAAAAGGGGCGCACCAACGAATGCTGCACGTAGGCGCCAGATACCCCAGGAACGGGCCTGCTTTTAGTCACGGGTTAAAGTTAGTTTTAAGTTAGTTGTCAGTTGTCAAATGTCATACAATCGTTAAAATAAAGTACTTACCCTTGTTTTAAAATAATATTAAATGTAAAAATTATTTTATTATCTCCATACAAAAATACAAAGTAAAACTAGATTTAACTTAATTTCTGGTAGAGACTTCACAATGGAGTGCCAATAAAACATCTTATTTACTTTCACTGTGAAAAACTGCTTCTATATCGGATTAAACGGTCCATTTTCAACTCGTTTATAAACTTTTTTAGACACTCATTTAATTAAGCACTCGCTTGTAAGCGTGCTCGTGCATAAATTAAATTCGTGTCTAAAATGGCGTTTATCAAATTTTATACATATTATAAGTGTTATCGATAAATGTGCAATAACTGAAGAACGGCAAATCGTATCAAAAAGTTCAATTATGAATGAGCATTTAGAAAAAAGGCGTAGCAAAAGTTTGAATTAGGGAATTTGGGGTAAATCAATTCCCTGTATATTAAATGTAAAGTTAGTATCAGATTATTGTAGAGCATGTTAAAAAACCTGTGATTGTGATTGTAATTAATACCTAAGGAGTTTTCTGAGATATGATATACAATTTAAATTTTCTTTGCACTTTCGCCCCCTTGTGTCTTGAAATCTAAGATACTTAGCCCTAACATCCATATTAACTTTTATTCACCAAATCTTGTAAAGAACTACACGGAAAAAAATCTATACTGATTCCAAGAAAATTCAACTCTATCCAAGTATAGCTTAGTTTCCCTATTCCGCAAGTAAATTTATACTTGTTTCAAGTATCCTCATATTCTTATAAAATAAAGATAGCTTCGGTTTAATCTAAGATTACTGCTATACTAAAAATAAGAAACACACTAATTTTGAGCTAAGTATACAAATTTGTCTTTAATGAAGACTACAGTATTCTTGTTGTAACGTTAGTATGTACTTCATCAAAGTATAGTTTCTTTGTAAAATCTTTACAGTATTCTTGTTTTAAGAATATACTTTCTTTAAAATTTATTTATTTATACTTATTGTAAGTACACGCTTTACTTGCATAAAATGCTTGTATTCTTACTTTTCCTTTTTTTATATTTGATAAAAGTATAGTATATATTTAAAATAACTCTACACTATTCTTAAAGAAAGTGGTTGATTAGAAAAAAAAATTCCCTCGTCTAGCGACTCGGAATAATTTTTACAAAAAAAACATTCGTGAACCTGAAAAATATTTGTATTAATTATCCTACCACTACGGAAAATACAAGTGAAAGTGAAAATATAATTGTTATGACAGTAATTTAACAGTATTTTTGGCATATTATTTTAATGTACTAAAGTACTAAGTATAATAGGCACTGATATCACAATAGGTTTATTACAGTCTTAGAGGTGTTAGAAAAAGTACTGTCGATTTATTTAAATTCATTCTTTCATGGTTAATTAACATAGATACTATATTTTACATTTTATTTTTTTAAGTACCTAGGTATCACATTTTTGGTGCTATATGTAAAGGTAAGGTTTTTAATCACAATAGTTATTATTTTTTTAAGTAGGTATTTATCTCCAGCTAAATAATTTGTAAAATGAGTCTCTAAGAAGGCTACCATTATCATCGTAGATGGTTTGGTGTTAATTCTTCAGTTTTTTGTCTACACTTGATCCTCAATCCTATTTTTGGAATTAATTCCTTTAAATTCTCCTCGCTTAGGTTTACCGTAATATCGAGATCTATCTCGTTTTCTAAAACAAAAATAATATATCTGAATTGGAGGCTATAGCCTTTCTGCTGTTTATGTGCTATTGTCTATTACCTGTCGTATGCTATCCATTTTACACTACAGTTTACCTATCCATTTTACACTACATTTTTACGATCATGCCTAGTTAATTACTTTAAATTAATGAAATATTATTTACTTACCCAAAAATGTGTCTAGTAAACATTCTAAGCCCCAATTTTAAAGTTTCTTCTCCATTATTATTTATTAAAAATAACATCCAGACCGAAAAATGAAAAAACGAACTGCCGGCGCCGACACGTACACACGCTACCACCATAGAACACACGACAGAACTGAACACAGAAACTGCGTCTTTTCTTTTAGCGAAGCGGTCTTAGAGGGTGGACGGTATTTACTTAAGCGAAGAATTAGGTATTTGTTTTAATAATAGCTATACTTAAATACAGTATAGTGTATTCTTTGTTCTAGAGGTCTTATACTTAAATTGTATAAGCATTCTTGTATTAAATATACATATATTTAAATAAAGTATACCGAAATTTCATACAAATATACAGAATACTTAAAATAAGTGGCAATATTCCGCTTTGAGTAAAAAACTAGAGCTCTTTCATCCAAGCATTATTGTATATTTGATTTAAGTATACCAATTTTCTTTAAAATAAAATACCTTTAAACTCAATCCAAGAATACTCATCTCAAATCAAGTAACAGTTTTTATTAAAAATTAAGTATATCCCATTACTTAGTTTAAATGTACGCTAATCTGATAGAAATAATAAATATACTTAAATCAAGTTCCTAACATGAAGTATAGAACTATTCTTAAACCTAGTAAGGGATTTTTTTCCGTGTACCCATTTAATTGTTATACCTTAATTTACCCTAAGGGCATTGTACAAAAACAAAATGATTTAACACGTTATTATTTTGTAATTTGATTTTTTAATCATATTGGATATGTATAGGTACTAATTTTTATGTTTAAACCATTTTTTTTTGTTTTTGGTAAATTTTTTGTTAGTACCTAAACGTGATTTTTTTTTACATTTTACATATAAAAAGTATATTTTTTAAAGTTTTGTTTTAAAGAAATGTTTTTCTATATTTGAGCCTATTTATAAAATTACTAACGATTTTTAGTTAAAAGGAAAATTAAAACTACCAGAAATTAAATGAAATCTGCACCGTTTCATAGAATCAGTTTCCCGTAAACTACTTAAACAAAATGTATGACAATTCAAGAAAGAAATTCAATGGGCAATAATCATTATTGCGTTTTTTTAAGTACTTAAAAACGCTTAAGATTCAGAAACTATTTCAACTTGCACCGTTGTTGACTAGAATAGCAAGAAAAGTGGCCAAAGGCATTAAAAAAACTAATAAATATATAATTATAACATTTTAATACCACATTTTTGTAGTTTACAACGTGACTTGATATTTTTATGTAAATTATTTTACCATACTTGATTTTGTTTTTTAACGTCAAAAATAGTAGACTAATTTGGGAAATTTCTACTTAAATATAAAAAGTCTAGATCGTGAAAAATAAATTTAATTAAAGAAAAAAATCAAAATATTTTTGTTATTTGATTTTTCAAGCATAATATATTTTTTTAATTAGATCAAGATCAACATACTATAATAATATTATAATATATAAGTTTTTTCGTTTTTTTCATTTTTGTATTTTATTTTCGTTAATTGGAATGATTTTTTCCACATTTTCTTTGTTAAACCTTAAAAAACTGTTTTGAAACAAAAATTTACTAAAAAATCCTCATATTTTGCAAAAATAACGAAATTATTATAAATTATTTATTTACCCTTTCAAAATAAAGGTAACAAATCATGAAATCAAAACCCAATTAAAATACGATTCCCCGCATCACTAAAACCCAAACAAATTTACAAATCTAATACCCTATTAATAAATTTCTCTTATATCCGTCTCAAATTCCGAATTATTTACCTACCTCTCGCTATCAAAACAACTCCATATTAATCATTCAACCCGAACGCTTCGCGCGCGATACATCTGTTTACGACATTATTCGCGTAAGATTTTACGTAATAAAACCCGGACACACAAACACCCGAATTCATAATCGGACAACAAACTCCACTTAAGGGTAGATTATCCACAAGTCCGCGCATGAACTAAAATGTAAAACAGTTAGTTAACATCGCCGATTCAGTCACAACCCTGCCACCAAACGATGTAGTCAAGGAACATCATGGAACTCATAACTACAAAGATTGTAGTCGCGGTGTTGTTCGCCTTGGGGAGGTTCTTTTTCGGGACCCTACCGGTGAAGTTGTACCACTTTCTTCGCCGCTGGGAAGAAGAAGATGACTCTCCTAATTTTGTCAACGAAAAACGTCACAATCAAGTTAACTGTGCCATCGCCATGTGTCAATCTTTTGGGGGTGGTGTACTGTTTGCGACATGTTTTTTGCACATGATGGTGGAGGTTTTTAAATCAGTTGAAGACATCAAGAAACTCGAGGGTTTTAACACTGACTACCCTTTATCGCAAATAGTGGTAACAATAGGATTTTTTTTCATATATTTCCTCGAAGAAGGCTGTCATTGGTACATAGCCAAACTACCCGCCGAACCATGCCCATCACGACAACAAAAAAACAACAACCTAGGCAGCAGAACCATAACACCTTTAATCAAAACAAAAGTTTCACCAAGCATGGAAAAAGAGGACATTTTTATAATTCAAGAATCGAAAAACCCAGAAGAAATAACGCATGTGGAACGCAACGAAGAAACGCTCAGCATCTCCTCTTCAGTTGAAAAAGAAAACAAGAAAAATATCACACTCAGTCAAGAAATAGAGATACCAGATGATTTCGAAGGCAAAAAAAATCAAAGACAAACGGAAATATTACACGAATTCGAGAAAATATTTAACAGTGATTCAAAAACCCAGCAGCAAATAGTGCGTTGTATTTTCATAGTGATGGCTCTATCATTACACGCGATTTTCGAAGGCCTCGCCATCGGTTTACAAAACGAAATAGCCACTATATGGTACCTATTCACTGCAGTGACAATACATTCAGCCACCATATTATTCTGCATGGGTTTGGAGCTATTAATAGCAAAAACCAAAACAAAAACAATTATTCTACAAATGCTTTTACTGGCGGCAACAAGTCCTTTTGGGGTTATTATCGGTCTTCTAATAACTTTGAAAGCAGATATGAATACAAAGGCCAAATCGGCTGCAGTAGTGATCCTTGAGGGACTCTCCACAGGAACAATACTTTACATAACCTTTTTTGAAGTTTTAAACCGTGAAAAAGCTAGGAGAGTCTATAGATTATACAGGGGGATATGTATCATGGGAGGCTTCACATTTATGGCTCTTCTACAGTACTACGAAATCCTAGAGAAAACCTAAATTATTTTAAGTTTAGTTAGTTAATGACAATATTGTTTATTTATAAATTTGACCTGATAATAGCTCGCTAATTATAGTTGGCTAATATTTGATAGTTTTTTTAGATAGAGTATTGAAGGAATTAAATGTGATTTAAGGAAATTTAGTGATATTTAATAAAGAGTTATTTTTGTACATATGTTTATTGAGTTGTATAGAGATGTATAACCAAAACCTATGTTTAACATTGTTGTGGAATAAAGTATTATTAGATTTTGTTAAATATACTTTTTATTTTTTATACCATTAAATATTTGATTAGATCTCAACAAGAGAGTCACGAAAAAGTATTTTGCCAAAGGTTAAAATTTTGTATACAAAATTTAAGGTTTTACAAGCGATTGACTCTCTATTAAGCATTGTAACGGTATATATGAGGAGGAAAAATGCAAAAGGATTATTATCCATTTTTCAGTTATTAGAAATTATTAGAGAAAATGTATATTTTCTAATTGAAGCAATATCCGGTAGGTACTTTATAATATTTTTTTCATTGTAGCAACTATCGTCTTGACCTTTAAATGGAAACAGTTTTTTTAAATAGAATGTGACTCGGTTTTTCAAAAAAGTAATTGAATAAAATTAAATTTTGGATAATAATACTTTTGCATTTTCCTTCTCATATGTACCTATACATAAGTTGTAAACATAAAGTTTGCATATTTCTTTCACCCTATTATAAATAGTTTTGGTTTCTATGGTAACATTAATGATTTAATAAATTTTTAACAATACTAATTTAGTTTTAAGATTTTACACCTGTAACTAGGTTTTATATATTTTATATAAAACCATCAAACTATTTTATTTATTTTTATATTAAAATGTTTGGATATTACGAGAAACCCAGAAATAATACAAAATGTCACGCAAAACACGAAAAGTTAAAAGAAATAAATCTACCTGGGGTTGCTGTTGGATCCTTTATGCATGTAAGTAATAAATAAATAAAAAATCATTATTGAAATTAAGTCAAATATATTTATTGATTTGTCAAGTGACTTTTGTCACATTTGACATATTAATTAAGGTTAGATTTATATACAATTAGATTAGGCATACTTAATAATATTATGTCCCTGTTTTTAAGGTATACAAGGTGGTCCAGTTTAAACGTCGTTAATTTTAAGAGGTGATATAGCCAAAGATATTATCTTTGGATATAGCATCAAAAATAAAATAGGCTATTTATTAAAAAACATTCCTTAAAAATGTTTTCCAATTTCTAAACCACTTAATTAATTTTAATTACTTTGTAATAAAGATAATCAGGCCAATTCACTAACATGAGTCCTTAACGTTAGCCACTAGAATCAGTGGTTATCGTCCGATCCGACCAATCAGGCCGAATAAATATAACGTTAACCACTAATTAAAGTGGCTAACGTTAACGACTAATGTTAGTGAATTGGCCTGAATGTCTTAATTTTGATGTGAAGGGGGAGCCCTTTCCCCACAGTCACTCCACTGGAAATTTACAATATTCAGGCCAATTCACTAAAATGAGTCGGTAATGTTAGCCACTAGAATTAGTGGATATCGTTATATTCAATCCGTCTGATTGGCCAGATTGGTCTATAACCACTAATCCTAGTGGCTAACGTTAACGACTCTTCTAGTATTAAAATTGAGCTACAATTTGTTGCCCACAATCTGTCAAAATATACATGTGTTAACCCTGTTAACTTTAAAGAGTTATTAAATGCCATAGGAAAACCACTTTTTCTATCCAAAATGCCTTGTTTATTTTGTTTCCATAGCAACCCTTTTTAGTTTTTTTTACTACCTATGTGTTGGGATATATTTTGTTTTTTTAATGCTTTATCACCTGTTAAAATAAATGACGTTTATACTGGACCAAGTAGGTACAACAAAAAAAAGAGACTAAATACAAGTACTCTCATATAAAAGTACTTAAGTACCAAGTACCTACAAGTACAGTACCGTTGTACTCGAGTAGGTACCCATACGAGTACAAAGTACCGAGTACACATTAGTTATGAAATGTTGGGAGAAATGCTAGAGAAATGGGGCGATTAAGAAACGAATTTAGAATCACTAGTACGAGATTTATAATTAATAAAAATGACGTTTTTTTGCTGAGTGTAAAGTGAGTTGCCTAACTTCGTGACTTTTCTCATGCGCGAACCGAGATATAGAAGAGACCTTGTTGTGGGTTTGTTCTGTGGGTCTGTCTTAAGGCTGTCGTATAAGGCAGCATGGGCGGAAATTTTCAACACCCACGTCAACCTCACCGCAAAAAAATGTACTTATTTCATAAGACTCGAGTACTTTGGAAGTAATCTAAAATGTATCAAGTAGGTACAAGTATAAGTAAATTCAAATTAAAGTACTAGGGACTGTGTAACTATAGTAACGATACACTAAATGTACTTGGAATACAGTGTTTGAGTACTTGTACTCGAGTACCGCACAGCTCTGTCTAAGTGTCTAACTATAAACATAAAGATTTTCAGTTGTTACACTATTGAACCCACTCTGATTGAACCTATATCTACATCATATCGATGTTTTTTACTAATTGACTGTGAAAATCGATCAAGGTCGGAAGTCGATTTTCGGAATGTTATTAATGCTTATTAATTATTGCCCAAAAGCCACTACTGCCACAAAGTCACAGCTTGTCAATGTAGGAGTAGATAAAATCACTTATTACCAGTGATGGGCACGTATATACTCGATTTATTAAATTTTGGATAAATACCCAAGGTATGTACTATGTACTATGTACCATTGGTGAGCACTATCGATAGTTGATAGTTCAAAGTTTACAATAATGCTCACCACTTTAATAAATCGGGTATATACCGGGTACGTGCCCATCACAGCTTATTACCCTCCTTATCAATTTAAGAGTAGATGACATATATTAAGATTTTTAAACACCATATTAAAAATGAGTTTAATTAGGCACAAACGCAGCTTGCGAGCGAGTGTTTAATAAAGTCGAGTATCTAAAGAAGTTTATTAACGAGTTACATACTATACTTTATCTACGAAGAGCACAAAAAATAATTTAATGCCAATTTTATTTGTTAAACGTTTTACATCTGACAAATGTCACCCGGATATAACCTCACTTTTTCAAAATTTATAATAAATCTAACTTCAACCCGTGACTAAAAAGTTCAAAAGCCACTGTGACTAAAACGCTATAAAGTCACAGCTCGTCGATGTAGAAGTAGATAAATGAATTAATTCATTAATAATTTAATGATTGTTTTTATTGATTCAATTTTATAATCTATTTATAATTAAAACCTAATTGGTATTTTATGCAAGTACAATTTAATGATTTAAGACCTGAGCATGATCATAAGAGTAAGTTGCATACAATCTACATTTCTATTAAATAATATTGCCGTGTTTGGCATTTTTATTGGTTACAAATTTGTATCATAATGGTGTCATTAAAGTATAGGTAGTAAATATCTAATAAACAAATTAAAGTATAGACGTAAAAAAATTGTTTTTAGGTTTAATTTTAACTATAGTACGATTCACGATTTTCTCTTTGGATTAAGTAAGTATAAGAAAAACGATATTTTTTCTACACATTACCTACTTTTTATCAAATAATAAGTACTTACCAAAGAAATAGAAATAGATTATTAAATATTGACAATTTAAAATTGAATCAATAAATACCCTGTAAAAACATCCAGCTATTACAATTTATAAATTAAGGGCGATTCTCATTAGGCGTGTCTGGCGCCTACGTGCAGCATTCTTTGGTGGTATTTTAATTTAAAGCCCTCAAATTTAAAAAATATATATTTTTCGACAAATTGGCAATATGTAATTGAAAATGTAAAAAAACTGCTTATTAAATTAACAAACAAACAAAATCACAAAAAATATTTAGTAATAAAAATACTCCTAAGAAAACAAAAAAAAACATATAAACAGTATAATAACTACAACTGGTTCTTAGTGACGTACTCTCTAAAAATGAATTAGTCAAAAATGACTAGTTTTCAAAGGACAGTCCTCACGGACAACAGCAATGATTATTTTTGTCACATCAATGAGAATTTATCGTTGAGAAGTGCCGGGAACTATGGTGACTCGCTAGTGATGCCGCCGATACGAGAGATTCTCGCCTCTCGTCTCGTCTGGGGTGCGATTCTCGAGTTGAGAGAACGCTATTCTTATGAGAAGTGGGCGTGTTTCACTTAAGTTTTGACAGGCTGCATTCTTAAAATCATGCAATAGTTTGGTTTTCCTAAAGCAGAAAAGAATTTCCGAGAGAAGAACGCACTAACTTATCTTAAATTCAATAATGCAGTCAAAACTTGAGAGAAATGCCCACTTCTCCTATGAGAAGCGTTCTATTAACTCGAGAATCGCCACCCTGGTCTCGTCTCGACAAGACGAGAGGGCGATTTTCTCTCGAAAAAAGGGCTCGAGACGAGACGAGAGAATGCCCTCTCTCGCTAGAGAGTTTCTCGTTTCTCTCGATCTGTCTCGTTCTCTCGATTTTTCCGGTAATAAGTAAACAATTTTTTTACATAAACATTATAATTTTGCACGTAAATGAAGATGTTTATTTGTTTCACAAATATATGTTTAAACTTTCCAAGCACAAATTTAACTCCTCACTTCATGTAACTAAGGGATGTCCCCTAAGGGGTATTACGTAACGCTAGACAGGGGAGAGGGGGTCAGCGCGAACGTTATGGTTTGTTACTGGGGGGAGGGGGGGATTTCGTCCCGTAACGCAATTTTTCTTTAATATTTTCCAATCAAATTCCATTAATTTTACTTCTCAGCATGGGCAAATTAAAATTTCCTAGTGTTACGTAACAACTAGAGGGGGAAGGGACGGCTAAGCGAAACGTTGGTATGTTACGAGGGGGTGAGGGGAGCTGTAAAAAATGCGTTACTTATTAGTTGAATGGCCCCTAACTGATAACTAAAGGTTAAAAAAGTTAAGAAGCATAATATTATTATGATAAACTACAATCTTATAGGTTTTTCGAAAAAAAAAACTTTTCCATATACATATAGGTACATGTAATAATAATAAATAAAACCAGTTTAAATTTCTATAGAAAAAATTATAAACGAATTCGTATTTCATTCCAAATAATTTTTGTATTCAAACATAGCTACTTTTACCACGAGAGAAATGCGACGAGACGAGAGAAAGGTACTCTCGAGCGAGAAAAGAGTATTCTCGACAAGACGAGAGAACCATTTTCTTTCGCTGCACGAGACGAGACGAGAGAAGGACTTTTCTCGCCTCGTCTCGTCTCGCGGCAGGCATCACTATGACTCACTATTAGTGAGCAATATTTTGTACATTAAAGATTATTTTCATTAGTTTATTGAGTAGATTACTGTTCTGCGCAGCAATTGCTATTGTTTTATTTTCTCAGTGTACTTTAGTAGCAGCCTTTAAGCTGGTTTACCGATAGCTTAGAAGTGGAAAAAGATGATTTGGTTGATGATTATGACGACTCTCAGGACAGTTCCAATTCGGATATGGAATGAATTTATTATAATCTCTAAAAATGAAATGAATGACTGGGCTTTTGGACTTTAAGGGGCAGTGGCGTAGCTACCGGGGCAGCAACTGCTGCCCGGCGCCAGCAAAGTTTAGGCGCCTTCACCCCTTTAGAGTTATAGAACATAGCGCCTTTAATTCCTACAAATCCTTTGTGTTCTAATATACAAAAACCTACCTACATAAATTAATTATTTCTTTTCATCACTTATACAAGGTGTCCCTAAACTTATTGGAATAAATTTAGGAAAAGATTGAGCAAGTCAAAATAAGACGAAAACCTAAATAAATATTTTTCCTAATACTTAAGTAATTAGGAAAAATATTTATTTAGGTTTTCGTCTTATTTTGACTTGCTCAATCTTTTCCTAAATTTATTCCAATAATTACATAATTACGTATGTTTCCAAGATACAGGGTGATAAAGTGTTACTTATCACATCAGTTTTTTTTAATATAACTTCTACTATGGTAGTCTTGGAAAGGTGATATTTTGCAAACAGTAACTTACTACCAAAACACATATTCACACATAATTACAATTATTTGAGTAAATACAGTGTCGTAGAAACTGGGGTACCCCAAGCAACGTTGCTTTAAACTTATTCTCCCATACAAACTTTGAGGTTAGGTTATTATAACATTTGATGCAATTTTTCGATCATACACTTCGGCTTGTATTAAAAAGGTGTACCTCTCAAACTTCGATGAAATAAACCGTTTCCGAGATATTCGAGATTACAATAATTGTTATATCGCATTATTTAAAAGGATTAAAAGGTACCTATATGATAAAAAAAATATTTTTTAATTGAAAAAACTAAAAAGGGCATTCCATGAGCCTCGGGACTTTTTGTCCTGACCGTCACATTAAAAAAATTGTAGTTTTTTCAATTAAAAAACTTATTATCATATACCTTTTAATTCTTTAATGCGATATAACAATTATTGTAATCTCGAATATCTCGGAAACGGTTTATTTTATCGAAGTGTGAGAGGTAATCGAAAAATTGCATCAAATGGTATAAAAACATAACCTCAAAGTTTGTATGGGACAATAAGCTTAAACAACCCCTGTTTCTACGACACTGTGTTCACTTAAACAATTGTATTATGTGTGAATATGTGTTTTGGTAGTAAGTGACTGTTTGCAAAATATCACCTTTCCAAGTCTACTAATATTACTTCAACTATAGTAACTAAAGTAGAAGTAATATTAAAAAAACTGATATGATAAGTAACACTTTATCACCCTGTATCTTTTAAACATACGTAATTAGGAAAAATATTTATTTAGATTTTCGTCTTATTTTGACTTGCTTAATCTGCTCCTAAATTTATGCCACTAAGTTTAGGGACACCTTGTATTTATTGTCTGCGCGCAACTAAAACTCGGAACACCAAGCCGGTATACAACGGTAATCCAATGCCAAAAGTATTATGATGAACTAATGAGTGATCATAGGTTTTCCGATGCAGAAAAAATCAAAATATCAGTATTTAATGCTACCCTAGATATTAGGTCTTTTCCCAAAATTTCTTATTGCAAAATGCTTTATCTTTATCTGAACAAAATAATAATGATTTGCAATCTGATCTTGCAGTCGAAATATTAAACTTCAGATCTACTTTTAGAGCTAAAATTGCCGCCCAACTCTTGATTTGTGGTTTTAAAAATTTGTATATTGCCTTTATTCCTGTAATTCCTGTAACTACTGCTTATGCGGAGAGATCGTTTTCGAAATTAAAAATTAATAAAAATTATTTGAGGAGTACTATGTCGCCATCAAGACTTAGTAGCCTGGCTCTTTTGAGCATTGAAAACAAAAAGCTTCCATCGGCGCGACTTTTGGGTCTAATACTCGACGCCACTCAACCTAGATACGCCACTGACTCGGGGTAACTTATTGACAATTTACGTAGCATTAGTAGATAATACTTATTTATGAGTTTTATTTTTCAAGCGTAACAATCATATATGCATAAGCCTATAAAGAAAGACTTTATTTTTATAAGAAATTTAAAAGTCAAATTATTATAGACCGCCGAATAATAATGAAAATGTATTGAAATTACATAGAAAGAGGGTTTACATCAATCGCATTTAGCTTGAAATTATAGGTCACTGGAATAAATTCATACACATAATCTGTAATATTATTTATGTCAAACGTCAAACCTTTACCAAATGTAGCAAACTCGAAATTTTCAATGTAAGTATAGAATTAAACGCTTAAAAAAATACAACACAGCGGAGAAAGCATTTAACTGCCCCGCTCAGATCTGCAACTCTGGCTAAGGCCTCGCCTGTTAGATAATGTACTATTTTAATTTGTTTAAAGGGTTTTTCTTCTAACAAAATACAATGAAAGTTTTAACACTTACATAAAAAATAACCATTGATTACGTAGCATTCGCGAATGCTACGTAAATTGTAAATAAATTGTAAAGGACAGATAACAGATGTCAGCTTATTTTGTTTTGTATTTTCGTTTCAGATGGCTCATTTTTACATTTGTTATAGCATATTTTTGACACTTGTTTTTTTTACATCTATCACCTGAATCATCATTTTGACAGGTGTTTCCTAAAAAAGTTTTTGGCCACATGAAAGTACCAAAAAAAAAAATTTTTAGCTCCTGGGCGAAAAGCCAATATGATTTTTTTCCGGAAGTATTGGTATACCATCTTTACATCATATAAAAATTTATAACATGTGCTCCTGATCAAACCCGTCGAAATTTCTCAAATTGTCACTATATAATTTGTACTGGTTATTAACCAATGGTTAATGAGTTATTATCGTAGAACCTTCAAAATTGAGATTTGTGGCAACCCTAGCTTTTAAATAATTTACACAAATTTTGAAAAAAATAAAAGACGGTGTAGTCAAATTTTCCATTATTGTGTTCGATTTGACGTGGAATATTCATATGACCCATGAATACCCACAAAAGTCAAGTTTATGACTATTCCTTTCGAACCCCAGTACCTCGGGGGTCTTCAAGGGATTTTTTTGAAACTGGACTTCAAAATTGCTTTTACTTCAAGCAGTAACACACTTCAGAGCCTTTTAGGCAACCCCAAAGATAACATTTCTAAAATTGAAAAGTCACTTAGCTTCTAAACGATCTTGGCAAAAAGTACTACAAGCACTTTTGTTTTGGTGTTGGGGAATATTTATAATATTTGTGTAAACAAATTGCCAAACTTGCGCGTCATATATGTATGTATGTCAGTCATGTACTTGTATTAAGTATGTATGTTAGTCATGTACTTGTATCAAGATTGCCGGTGTGTAATTTGTCGTTGTTCATTTCTTTTATTTTTATTTTAAAAAATTAAATCGTTTATTTTTAAACTTCTTGTTTGACAAGCTAGTGTCAAACATAAATGTCATTCATGAATAATACTCATGTATGGGAAAATCCAATTGCCATCCAAACTAAAATGTAGTAAATTACATATAATATAAGCTCTATTCACATACAGTTTAATCAAATGTCGACTATATTATTTTTTTAAGGTTGGTAAGGAACCGAACACCAACAAGCACATAAGAGACCGCGATGCCCGTATGAAAAAGTCCGACGGGCTTGACTCTAGGCTTGCCGAAGAGAAAAGAAAGTTGCTTATGGAGATCGTAGTTTCCGAAAGCGAAAAAACCGGAAATAACATAATTTTTCGAAGAAAAGTCAACGACAAAGTCGACCAAAAGCTCAAGCAGTACGAAAAAACGATCGCTGAAAGACGAGCTAGGTATATCTACCATATTAATCACACAGGTCTACAAAATTTATAAACAGAAACTATATTTGTTTAATGTAGTATCTCTATTTCAAAAGTTTGATACCTAAATAACAGTAGTCCGTGACAGAAAATTCACCGGTGCCAATGTAAAAATTTAAAATGACAATTTCTAAAAGTAGAAAAAAATTTGTTTTAGATTTCCATAAAAAATATAGGTTAATCAAGTATATTAAACCTTAATGAGCTGAGTCCAAAATGCGATCTTAAAATTTACCATCGTATCAGATTTTCGAGAAATTTAAACCCAAAAGAGGAAAACCGCATTTTTTATATTTTAGGTTATATTACATTACAAAATTCTTTTTTAATTTTTCAATATTAAATTTTTTCTTCAAAAAATCATCAGTTAAAATACCTATATTGTTTTAATTAAAAAAAAAAATAATAATAAAATTTTTAAGGTTAAGCGAATTGTTGGAAAAAGATGAAAAGCAATTTTACTATGAAACAGTCGATAAAGCCCAAAAAAGTGACCAATCTAACTTCGAGGAAATGGCGAAGCGGGCCAAAGAAATTCGGGCCAATCGTGAGGCTGAAAGGCTTAAATTGGCTGAAGAAAAGCGACTGCAACAATACGCGTAATAATTTTATTTTTTAATGTTGGTATAATAGAGCTTAATTGCTAGGTATATTTATAGTAAAAGTATTGCATGTAATGATTCTTTCGTTTAATGTTCTATTTAAAATAGGTAGTCAATGTTTAAGGTGAACAATCAAATAACCTTTCTTTTAACATTTAATTTGCTACTATTTACTTAATTGTGCTATAAATTTCAATAAAAATAATAATAAAAACATCGTTAGGTGTGTACAGTGGCAGACACGGAATTTTGAACATCATAATTTGGTTGACCATGTATAAATCTGTAAATAGCAAAGATACAATATTGACTGTTTTGCTTTTTCTGCCAAAATGACAAATCTAGTCATGAATAGAAGTAAGGTTAAGTTGTCCATAAAGAAAGTCTCAACGGGATTATAGTCGTTCAAAATTTCGTGTCCGCCACTGAACTCTGCATATTAAAAATAAATTAGTATTTGCTTTAACAAATACATTAAGTGTGCCAGAAGTATATTTTTTAAATTTGCGGTTTTTTAGGTGCCACTAACCAAACAATTTGTTTTCTAATAATAATAACTTAAATCTAGCAAACAAACGTCAATTTTTATAATTCAGGAATTTTATTTTGTTTTATTTTTAAGTCAACGTTCAGAAGATTTAAGACTGCTAACAACCAAAAAACTTTTATACGACACAAAAGAAGCAAATCTCATACAAATGAAGGAAAATCAAATGAAAAAAGAACGCGAAAAGGAAACTGAACACATGTGGCATCAGATAACGATGAAGGAGATTCAGGAGAAGGTTGGTAAACGTGACAAATTAAAAAAAATATTGAATGCATGCGCAAGTAACCTATGGGATGTGGTTTTTGTTAGACATTACGAAATCGTAAATAAATATTTGATTGATTTACTTACCAACTTGTACATTCTATTATGGGTAACAACTAAAAGTGAATGGAATATCTTAAGGATCCTTTAATTGTTGAGTTGAACAGCCACAAAAAGTTAAATGTCAATGTAACCAATGTAATAATCATACAGTATGTTTAGAGAATCTCTTACCAAAGCCTAATACATTATAGTTTAAATATTATTAAGTACAAAATTTATATTTTTTTAGGCACTAAGAGAAGAGCAAGACTTGCTCTTAGACAAGCAGAAAAAAGGAGGTATCACAGAAGTATGGGAGAAACAAATCCAAGGCAAGCATCTTGTCGAAGCTGAACGCGAACGATTGAAAATTGAAGACAGGATGGAACTTGATAGACTTCATGAAGAAATAAACAAATGTGAACTAGCAGGTCCAAATAAAATTCATTACTGCTTTATTACACATTGTGCTAAAATTAAGGCTGTTTCAGATCAAGTCAATTACAAGGAAATTCAAAGGAAATACGCTGAAGAATTAACCAATCAAATAAAGAAGAACCAAGAATTCATCGCGTACAAAAAACACTTAGAAAATACGTTCGAGGAGGAAATTGCGGAGTTGGTTAGAAAAGAAATTGAGGCAGAAAAACGAACAGTATCAGATAACAGAAACTTATTGCAAAGGGAGACAAAAATGTACAGACAACATCTAGCCGACCTTCAAAAGCAAAGGAAAGAAGATGAAATACGATTGGATGAATTGCTGGAGATCCACCAAAAGGAGGTTACGAAGCAGAAAGACGAAGCTTATTGTAAGGAGTGGAACAAAAAGGAAAAATTAAACAGGGTACACATTTTTCTGAACAAAAACATTTTTGTACTGTTTGATTTTAGGACGTTATAAAAGGAAGACATGAACAAATGGAGTTGAAGAAAGAAAGACAACGCCATGAAGAAAAAATGAAGCAAATGGAGAAAGAAATGAATTCAAAAATATATGAAATGAATAATTGCTTGGAACGAGAAATGGAGAGGAAGAATTTGGAAATGCAAAAACAATACCAAGATGAACTGTCACAACAGATTCATTACAACGATATACTAAAGGTATTTTTTATAATTTAATGTTTAAAGAATATTTTATTTAATATTGTTTTAAATTTAAAAAACTTAATATTTATTAATATTAACAATGTTATAATGATTGATTATTGTACACAAATTGTCAGGAAATGTACATCTGACATGTTAACCATGTTAACCTTAACGTTAATGGCGTAGGAAACCCTGTATAAAACAGAGGACGGGAAATCTGTGAAGTATACTGATAAAATTTTATTTTATTGATCCAATCAGACATGAAAAACAAAAAGTGTTAACACGTTCAATAGGTCTTGTGGTTTAATCTCGTATTTAATATTTTCTTTGGTTTGTAACAAGCATTCATTTAAAAACCATTTATTTTTTAACAACGTTCTCATAATAACCGACTTCCTCTGTAGAAACCGCAGATAATTTTAAAACAAAACGAAATAAAAAACAGAATTTAAAGAAAATTCATCCCATCCAATTATTCACAGATAAATAATGCCGATAATGCCTTTATGGGAACACGCGTTTTTATTATTGGTGCCGTGTTTAATTAAACCGTACTTAAAAGATAAAAATCTATTAAACACCTCATTCCTTTCGTTTTTCAATTGTCATTTATCATTTGGCAAAACGCTTCATGAGAAAAAAATCTATAGGAAACGATTGTTTGGCCAACTTTCTTCCTTGAATTACTGTCCTTATGCAATGATTATTAGACATTTAGGTTTTGCAAAATAAATATTGGAAAAGTTTTGTCAAAATCAATTAAAAACAAATTGCTTAACAAAAGCGTCCTAAACTGAAAGTTAAACAAATATTAAAAATGTGAATTAAATAAGTAAGACTTTTGTCCCCACATTGTACACTAAATAGCATATAATCTTAATTCAAATTTAAACATTTTGAACATTATAGAAGTCGCGACGAATCATCAACTTTATGAAGTGTGTCAGTGGGTAATAGATGTGAGATCACTTTCATTCAGTACGGTACTTTAATGGTAAAATATTTTGCAACTTCTTATTTAATTAGGTTGTTGTTAATATTCAGTCTAACTGTACTAAAGCAATTTGCTTTAAGCAAGGTTTGATTTACAATATAGTTCGTATTAGTTCGTATAGTTCATATTATTAGTAAATATTAAAAAAATTTAACGATTTTTTACTGTTGCAAAACAATTTTATGTTAAATTTAAATTTATAATTTAACCATAAAATTACTTTCAATTTTGTAATGTACTTGGCATATCATCACGTTTTTTATTTTAATTTAGATACATATCATTAGAGATAACATTGCCCCATACGTATAAACGTAATTTCTGGTAAAAAAAATATTATTTAAAAATATTGATACATTTTTTGTTATAGCAAAGGGAAGTTGAACATCTAGAAGAACAATGTAAAAGAAGTCTAATAGAAGAAGAATATTACCAAAGAAAAATAAAAGATGTTGCAAATTTTGGACTTTTAGGACGACAAAAGCATCAATTTCAAATTGTACTGGAGAAAAACAACAAAATACCTCAATGTTGTCCATGTCCAGAACAAAATAAATAAATTAATTTGTGATTTTTTTAATATAAATGAACACAGTAGCCATTGTATGTCTTAATTTAAAAAAATTATTGCCGAATTTTGTCTAAAAATATTTATATATATATACATACAGGGTGTTCCTTAATATCATGTACAAACAAAAGGGGGTGATTCTTTGGCTTATTTTATGAATTAAAGTTCCTATAAACATGGGCCCGCAAACGCTTCGTTACCGATCTACAGGGTGTTAAAGTTTGGAGATTTTTTTAGTTTTTATCTTATAACTTCTGCAGTTTTTGAGATATTTGGCCCAAATTCGGAATATAGGTTAGGCTATAAGGCTTACATCATTGGGCATGCCAAATGGTTATAAGAATCTACAGGGCGATACTTTTTTGTATGTCATGCTCCCCTTTTTTCCCAAGAACTTTTTTATGGTGCGCTGCTGGTAGATTTTAAAATACAAAATAAATTTTCTGTTTTGTTTAAAAACTTTTTGGTAACCTAAAGTTTTTTCGTATTTGCGACCGTTATCGAGAAAAATATGTAGAACAAAATTTGTGAGATGAAATTCAAATTTTTAAAAGGGTCTGGTTGGCTTTATTAATAATAACTTATTTTTATTTATTTTAACAATTTATTCTACACTTCTTGTTAAAAACAAAATGCTCTTTGTTAAAATGATTTATTATAATACAAAAAACTTAAATATTTAGAAAAACAAGAAAACTACATTACAACAATTGTTGAAAGTGACCTCCTCCAATTCTCACACAAGCATCTGCTCTTCTTCTCATTGATGCCCTTACTCTTTCAAACACCCCCGGAGTATTTCTTACGGTTTCAAATGCTTCTACTATCCGATTTTGTAAGTCATTTATATTATTAACTGGTGTTGCATAGACTAAAGATTTGAGATGCCCCCATAGGAAAAAATCCAGGCTGTTTAGGTCAGGAGACCTAGGGGGCCATGGCTGAGGTCCACCCCGTCCTATCCACCTGTTTTCATATGCTACATTTAAATACTCCCGAGCCAAAATAGAAAAATGTGCTGGGGCGCCATCGTGCATATACCAAATACGGTTTCTTAGCAAAACAGGCAAATCTTCTATTAAAAAAGGCAATTCATGTTGAAGAAAATGCCTATATGACTGAGCATTAAGTCGATTAGGCAAAAAGAAAGGACCAATCAAATAATCCCCAATTATACCACCCCATACATTTAACGAGAACTGTTCTTGAAAATGCGTTTCTACAATTTCATGTGGATTTTCTTCAGCCCATATGTGGTTGTTATGAAAATTTATAATTAAGTCTCTAGAAAAGTTGGCTTCGTCGGTAAAAAGGATTTTACAGTCAAAATTAGGGTCTCTTGCTAGCCTGGCAAGGTACCATCGGCAGAAATTAAGCCTTAATGGGAAATCTCGAGGAAGGAGCGCCTGCACCCTTTGAATGTGGTAAGGGTATAGCAGAGAATCACGCAGGATACGCCAAACAACTTGATGACTAATGTTGAAATGTTCACTAATTTTTCTAGTGCTAGTATCTGGATGCTCTTCTATTTCATTTAAAACAGCTTCTTCAATCTGTGGTGTTCTTACCGTATATTGTCTACCTGCATCATTGGTATTCTTTTTAAAAGTTCCACTTTCTGCAAGACGCCTATGAATATTTGTGAATGTTCGATGATCGGGTATTATTCTATTATCGGGATAGCGCTCCATGTACAGGCGTGTAGCTTCTCTTGCATTTCCATCCGCAAGGCCATAGATGAAATGCATGTCAGCCATTTCAGAATTCGTATAATTTGGCATTGTTACGGACTGATAAGAAATTTAATTATAACGAGTCTTTTAAATAATTTTACACCTTGCAGTTTAAAACTTTAAATGCGTGCTGTCAATAGCATCGTTTTTATGTATTTTTTTGATGTTGTAGACAGTGTGTTGTCTGTGATGTTGTATCCAATAGCTACATAAACCATTTTATTTCAGATTTGATATTTAATAAGTAGTGGCAGAAATGAATTCAAATCATGTTTAAAAGAGTACACCATTACAACAATTGTTGTAAGGTAATTTTCTAGTTTTTCTAAATATTTAAGTTTTTTGTATTAAAATAAATCATTGTAACCAAAACCGTTTTGTTTCTAATAAGAAGTATAGAAATATTATTTTAAAAATAAATAAAAATAAATTATTAATAAAGCCAACCAGATTATTTTAGAAATTTGAATTTCATCTCGCAAATGACAACAACTTGTGTTATATTTTTTTTCTCGATAATGGTTGCAGATACGAAAAAACTTTAGGTTACTAAAAAGTTTCTAAACAAAACAGAAAACTTATTTTGTATTTTAAAATCTACCAGCAGCGCACCATAAAAAAGTTCTTGGGAAAAAAGGGGAGCATGACATACAAAAAAGTATCGCCCTGTAGATTCTTATAACCATTTGGCATGCCCAATGATGTAAGCCTTATATCCCAACCTATATTCCGAATTTGGGCCAAATATCTCAAAAACTGCAGAAGTTATAAGATAAAAACTAAAAAAATCTCCAAACTTTAACACCCTGTAGATCGGTAACGAAGCGTTTGCGGGCCCATGTTTATAGGAACTTTAATTCATAAAATAAGCCAAAGAATCACCCCCTTTTGTTTGTACATGATATTAAGGAACACCCTGTATATAGCTATAGCTATATTTATTATCAATACAATCATAAAGTAAAGTAATGGTATACAAGTCCATCCCATTATCTAACACTTGTATGGTGTACCATTAAAACCCATAATTAGGCAATTAAACCCATATTTGGAACAACATCATGCACGATAATAAATAACCACACTCTACAACAAAGAAAAAAATCGAAGAATAATTTAGTACAAATAAAGTACAGAGAACCAAAAACATTCACCAATTAAAATTATAAATCTACGATGGTTACTTTTTAAATTATTAATCGTAATGTGGAACATTAGTGAGTGTATTATGACCTTTGCGGAGATGTTTCAGTAATCCCTAGTCCGGTGAAGAAATAAGATAAATAAAATATGGCGGTAATAAATAGCACTTTGTTTAAAAGGATGAGAAATATGGCTGTTTATTTGTTGCAGCAACTTGTTGAAAAGGTGGAAAAAATGGATTGTGCAGTCTGAAACGGAAATCTATCGATTAGACGTATGGCCTTCACTGCCTGTTCGATAATTATAATTAAACGAACGAGTTTTGCAATGGGTAAAAAATTAACCCATCATCGTTTAAATGTAGGATATATTCTTAAGCCGAGTTCATATAGATGCGAATTTGCGAATTTACGAATTTGCGAAATACGAATATTCGCATTTCGCAGCTCCTATTCATATAGATGCGAATTGTCGGAACCATTTTAGGGACATTGTTTTCTCACTAGGCGATATTTGCCATGGTATTTTAGGGACATTATTTTCTCTCCAGGTGATATTTGCCATACATGGTTAACATTTTCTATAGGTAGGTACTTAAATAGTAAAGTTACTTCTAAAAAAATATGCTACTATAAGGTAAAATAAGAAACTAATGTACCTCCAAAAACTCTTTGTCCATTATAAAGAATAAAAAACAACTTTAGCAAGAAACATTTCAAATAAAACTCAACAACGATGCAATACAAATGAAATAAACACAGAACATAAACAAAAATGGCGCGGGTACATATAACAAATACGTATAATAGGCATCTGCATTAATGCGCATGCGCATTACGCCAAATTCGTGCGATTTTCGCAAAATATTGGATCAATCTCAAGATTCCCGCCCCCCAGATTTCAAATCTTGCGAATTCGCAGAATCTGTCGAAACGTCGAAACACTTTTCCCGCCAAATCAAATGGACCAATGAAAACATTTTCGCATTTCGCAAATTCGCATGTCGCATCTATATGAACCAGGCTTTATGGTTTATAAAAATGTTACGCAACTCAATATCCTTGCTCTAGTATGTGCAGTGGTAGAAAAAAGTATGAAATATTTTTTTACTTTGAACCATTTTAAATTAACGTTGTCCATAATAAGCTAATTTACTAGTAACTGTATTATTGTATAGGTCGGTATATTTCTTCATTTGGCGTGGAAAAAAGTATCAAATATTTTATTTATTTTCATGAAAAATTAACAAAAATTTAAATAATTCAATATTTTGTGGCATAACCTTTCACTTTTATCAGCGCTTCACATCTTGGCATATAATCCACCAGTTTCTGCAATGTGTCCGGAGGTATTTTTTGCCACTTTTCCTGTATGGCGTGGAAAAGTTCTTTTTTATTTTTGATATTTCTGATTTCTAATATTTCCCAAAGATGCTCAATGGTATTAAGATCAGGGGATTAAGAGGGCTATACAAGCACGGTTACATTTCTTGCCAAAAACCACTCCTTAATAATTTTTGACGTGTGCTTGCACTGAGAGAAATACTAGGGTTAATAATTAATAACTATTTATTTGAGACGTTTTTATTTATAATAAATACAGCAAATTTGCTGTAAATCAATTTTATTTACTAACAATATATTCTGAAATTTAAATTATTTATTTGGGTCGAATTTATTTGTTATTAATAGACTAAATTTGTGTCGAATAAAATCGTTTATTAATTTATTGTAAATATACGTTATACTCGTATTTAGTTCACAGTTTATTAATAGTTGCCAAATTTAATTTCGTAAATAATGATTATTAAAAATAAGTCACATTTTCTAACCATTAAATCATATTGTTTGTAAGAAATATGATATATTAATAATTAACAAATGGAATATCGTAACGCGTCGTTTTACCTCGGACGATTCACTTCACTTTAAAATGTCACGTAGTGGGTGGTTTACATCTTTGTTGATAAAGGTGGTGGTGGTTTGTGCTTTTGCATCATTTTTAATATAATAAGGAAATTTGTATTGCGTATAAACAGTAATTGGGTAAGTACATAATAATATTTTTCTATGGTGTTGAATGCTAAAAAAATAAAAATAGGTCCTTAAACATGGATGTTAACATGGACATAATAGATTCTAAACTGTTA